GACTTCTTCACCCAATCGAGACAAGTGTGTGGCTGGCCATTCTGCCTTGCTGTTGTTCCCGTTGCATCAGGTCGCCGACGCCCGCATTTGCCCATGCAACCGTGATTTGTTCGCTAGCTACGGGTTTGAAGGCTCGTGGTAGGTAATTATTCAAAATCTTCGAGGTCGCATATGACGAGCCAAAGCTGGTCATCAACAAGCCGACCGGTGGCTGGATGCTACTTGATTTTCCTTTTCAATCACAGCGCTAACTGTTGTATCGTATCATCATTTCCATGTTAGCCACGAGCGAGCTAACAAGTAATTAGTTCGTGGGCTCCATTCTTATGCGGGGCATAATACGGAGAGTTATCTCTCCGTCACATGTTACAGTGACTGATAAAGGTACCTATATTGACAATCGCCAAACAGTAAAAAGACAAACGGTATATTGCATCTCGTCCGTCCGCGAAAACAAACTGAACACGCCACCTCCTAATGCCTGGTCCACGGCTCCTCGAGCGCACCGTCCTCCATGCCCGTGACGCACTGGACTCTTGTCGAGCCCACAAATCGGAAGTACACAGTCCATGATTTTCTGACGCCCGGCCACGGATCAACCTTGAAAAAGGCGTTGGTCATGCGAATCTGGCCGTAACTGCCCTCGAAGAACCTGGCCAGGTCCTTCAGCACCCACGGCGTCTCGATCTTCTGTGGCCCATAAAGAACAGCGAGGATTTCAACGCCATATGGCCCTGCTCGGCCCTGGCGGCACCAAGTGTTGTCCACGTCCTTGATCAGGTTCGCGTTCGCTGGCTGCTCGTGGGCCCCCGGGCAGATCTTGATGAAGCTCCCATGCTCCGGCGCGTTGAGCAGGTGCATGGTGTCGTCACCTTCGTAGTGATAGAGGAGCGTCAGGGTCTTGACCACGCCATATGCGGGATCAGGGACGAGCACGCGGTGCAGAGTGCACATGTCGAGGTCAATCTCGGCGCTGGCACTCCTCATCGCCTCAATGTCCCTGATCACATTGACGCCGCCCCATGTGGCGCCGACGACGGTGAGACGCGGGGGCTCGTCAGGCCGGCGAGGGATGAGGGCGTCTTCGTAGGCCGGACTCGGGTCCAGGTAACGCATAGGCAGCTGCTGCTCGTCCTTGCCCGATTTTTGACTTTTTTCGTCGGGCAGGTCGCTCAAGTCATCCCAGCCGTCGAGATTCATGGTCCTCATGAGGATGGTTATTATATCGAACGAATATGGTAACTAAGGTAATTGTCTTGGTTGTTGATTGATGAAAATGGAGCAGCGACAACGCGATGTTGGAGCAAGTTGGGACGTCAAGAGACGAAAGGATGGATGGAGATCATGAAAGTAAAAGCGGGGACACAATGGCACAGCCGCCTCCTAGGCAGACGCGCCGAGGTGCCTGTTGGAAGTTGAGACTTGGCTTGGTGGGAACGAGAACGCCTGAACAACGCCTAAAACACATTGGGCAGACTCAATCCAACCTTGCGGCCCGCGTTGCGGCCTCCCATCTGCTGACACGTTTTGCAATCCTTCCAATCGCGTCGATCCACTGCGCACATTCGAACCATTCGCGAATGGCCTCTCGCCACAATCACAGAGCATTCGACTCGGATTGCCAATCATCAAGGCAAACTCATCACCACAAGAGGACTGGACTTGCAGCACAGCCACTAACTGAGTGAACAGCCAAACAGGACTCACAAAGGGCTGATGAACGACCGACTAGCCATCTGCGACCAGACCAAAAAAACAGACAAACCATGAGGGACGCACCCTCAACTCCGAGTATCGGCGATCTGCCCGTAGAACTCATCCCAATAGTCGCGAGCTCCCTCAGCACCCCAGACATCAACAGCTGGGCTCTGACATGCAAAAGCTTCTACCAGATCCTCAATCCGATTCTATACCGCTTAAATGTTCGCGATTGGAGGAGCTGCGTTCGTGGCATGAGCCGCGCATGCCTATTGGGAAACACCGGCGGGGTGAAGAAATTCCTCGAGTACGGTGCCAAGATTGATCGTACCTATTCAACGAGAGTTGGTAGCTGGAAACATGGAAGAAAGCAGTCAGTTGTGTATCTGCATATCGCCATCGAAAACGGCCACCTCGAGCTTGTCACACTCTTAATTGCACACAATGCCAATATCGCCCGTGTCGGCATGGATCGGAGGCGAGCTCTTCATTTTGCCAAAGACTTGGACATGGTTCGCACGCTCCTAGCCGCCGGAGCTCAAGAACACATCAACTCGTTGGGTGGCAATGGCGGTTCCCATTCGCCTCTTGATGCCATGGTGAACGCCAACGTGTCCCTGGAGGTTGTCCAATTGATGCTCGACAGCGGCGCCAAACCATACCAGCTCTCGTCTTTCATGAACCCCGTCATTGCCGCCATGATGCACGAAAGGGCAGACGTTGTTGATCTTTTGGTACAACATGGAGGCAAGGCAATCAATGGCATCCGTCCTCTTTCGCCCATCGGCATGGCCTTGCACATCCCTGACCCTGTGCTAAACACAAAGTTCGCCCGGCTTTGCCTGCTTCACGACCCAACCAGCTTCTACGATATCAAAGTCGCCCTGCACTCACAGGTCGGCTTGACTTGGAAAGACTCGGGGGATTCATGCTTTTCCTTTCCCAGGGCAACATGCCTTGTTGATGGCACGCATCCAATTCCACTGGAGTCGTTTGAGCTTCTCTTGGGACACGGAGCGTCAATCGAGGCCTGGATGGTCGCCGCAGATGATGATCCCGTCCACCGGCTCAGCATTCTCAAGCACGAGCAAACAATCATGACGAATCTCCAGTACTTGTTGGCCATGATATATGCTGGCGACCGTGATAGTCTTTCCCATGAAGATGAACGCAAAGTCAGAGCTCTGATCCAGCTGCCAAGATCGACGTCCATGAATGTACCAATGCAGCCAGAGCAGGGTTCTCCCATCGTATTCTGGCTTCTCGACTCCGTAAGCAGCAGCTACCCACAGAAGAAATTACGCTTAATCCAGATGCTTCTCGAGACCATGCCCATCGACATCAAGGACCCCGAGGGGCGCACCCCGCTGCTGCATGTGCTACAGCAAGTACACTCGCCAGACGGGACACTGGCCTTCACCGAGGACCTTGTCCGCATTTTCCTTGAGGCTGGTGCGTCAGTACATGCTCGCTCAGGGGATGGCATGACTGCGCTGCATGCAGTTTGCCAACTTCCTGTGACCGGTGTTGCCCATGATTTTACCTCGCGGGGCTGTGTTGAGACCGAACACAGAAGGTACACCGATAGCGAAGGACGAGTGCCGAAAATGATCCAGTTGCTTCTTCAGCACGGTGCTGATGTTACGGCGATTGACAAACATGAAAACACGCCAAAGCACTATGCTGTTTTGAATGGATGGGAGAGAAAGAGTTGTCGGGTTAGACCAGGATGGCAAACAGTCGAGATCCGGAAGGTACAGAGGAAAGATCGGGGGACGAGTTCTGGTAGCTATCAGTCACACAAAAAACGTGGCCATGATGCGATGGTTCCAATGCTCCTGCCGCGCAAGCTCGACCCCGTCTCGAGCAAGAACGGAGAGATCTGTGTTCCCAAGTGCTTGTTCCTACTTGAATATAATCTTCACACCTTCTTACCCGTCCTGTCGCATTTTGCACATATCGTGGAGTTTGGATTTCGTCCTTTGCCCTCCTCTCCATTACTTTAACCTATCAATCCGAGATCCTAGAACCTAGAACCAGCCCAGAACAAGATTACACGCACTCTTCCCGTTCTACAGCCATGCCTACGGTTATGCAGCTCATCCCCATCATCAAGCTGCAATTCCTCTTTCTCCTCTTCTCCTCGCCCGCACCCGCAGCACGAATCGGTCTCCTGCAAGGACGGCAGACCTCCGACTCTTCTGCGGACACAGCCGACCAGCCGACCATAACCAGTCTGACTTTGAGCTCTTCTGACACTGAAGGCCACGTCAGCTCCATCTACCCGGAAGACGGTACTCTCAGCTCGATTTCCGACTCCGGTTCTGCTGTTCTCAGCTCGATTTCCATCTCCAGCTCAGCCGTTCTTGCCTCCGAGTCGCTTTCAGTCTTCAGCTCAGCCCTCCACTCGATCCCGTCTTCCGAGGTCTTCCCACCGTCAACGACGCCCCCGACAAGCTGCGTCTGCTCCGCAAAGACATCAGAGACCGCCGTCTCCTCCCTCTCCTTCCTCACCACCCCCTTCGCAAACCTCTCGACATTCACATCGCCATCATGGACCACCCTCCCCGTCGCACAGCTCACGACGGACCCGTTCTGCGTGAACGAGGCAAGTCCCCACGAGGGCATCGACAACCACTGCGTGTGCAAGAACGGCGCCACCATCGCCATCATCCCATACACGGCAGGCAGCAACCTGTCCGACTACCAACCGTGCGCCTACACCACCGTCGACGAGAGTAAGACCAACACCAGCAGCACCGTGACCGCCGCCAACAAGTCCTCGACGTTTTACTTTGCGCCGTCGCCGGTGGCTCCTCCCGCTACGGTGGCTGCGAGTCTGACGACGTTCTTTGACAGTACGCATACCCCGATTATGGAAGAAGACTTGGACGGTGGGGACGAAGAGGGATACGGGATTGCCAAGGGGCCGATCGACAAGCAAGGATGAGGACCACAGAGATTGGAAGAGACTGGAACATAATCATATCACTGCATGTCGCGGCCGGGTGAAGATCAAGGGAGAGGGAGATCAGCCGTGTCGGCTCAACACATGTATTTAACGATATCAGTTATGCATGTAGCTATTAATTGATTAACAAGGGGATGGATGATACGTAATAGATGTGGGAGACCGGGAGTGAGTGGTAGGGGGTTAAACAAGTGGGGCAAATCATCCACTTTTTTATTTATTTTTTCCATCAGAGTTTTCACACACACACACACACACACAACGGGCCGAGTATGTGACGGACAATACCCGTGCAAACATGCATCCAAAACAAGAACCACTGGCTTCACAAGCCCGGCTAGCTCAATCGGTAGAGCGTGAGACTCTTAGGCTTCGAGTTCCGCCTCGAACATCAGACTATCTCAAGGCTGTGGGTTCGACCCCCACGTCGGGCTCAATTCCCGGCGTCAGATGTTAGAATCTGATTCCTTTCTTTTTTTTTCTTTCTAGGCCTTAATTACTTGATATTTATCTCCTTTGCTTTTTTTTTTTTTTTTTTTTATTTTTTATTTTTTTTGCGCGCTCCCGCCGGCTCAGGGGCAAGCAGGCGGACATTGAACTTGAACATCATGATACTATTATATATTTATCCACCGTCCGAGCACCAATCGATCCACGAAGGCGCAGTTTCCTTCTTTCTCATTTGCAAACTTATTCATTACAGGTGGTAATCCTGCGGACTCGCGACTTTGATGCCGCGGCGCGCCCAGATCCCGTCAATGTTCATGTCCCGGCTGCCGCTGTAGTTTTGCCCAGCCATGTCAGTCCGTGTCTTGTTTGAAGGACAAAGGGAAAGAAGGGAATGTTTGATCTCTTGAGTAGTTTGAGATTTGGAACCCCGAATTTGCTTGATCGTCGAAGGGGAGGGGATGTGGGGATGGAACTTACTCGTCTTTCAAGTTGACAAACGGCTCCGTCTGGTCCGCGGCGGGATTTCTAAAGATGACGTTTTTCGTCTGTGGGTTCCGGGTAGTTAGTTAACTTTCACCCCGATTTCAGGGATAAGGCATATGCATGAACCTACCAAGCCCAGCGTCAGATGTATCCCCGCCGGCGCCACCGTGATGGTCTCGCTCGGCGCGGCCCCAGCCACCATGGCCGCGATGTTCTTGGCCGCCACGGCCGCCTGCACCGCGCCCGGCCTCGCGGCCTTGTGGGCGCCCGAGTCGGCAATGTCGCCGACGGCATACAGATGCGGGTACTTTGGGTCGCTGAACTGCAGCGTCGGGCGCACGCGGACGTAGCCGTTCTTGGGGTTGATGAGCGAGTCGGGCGCCGATGGCTCTAGCCCGCCCGCCGTGATGAACTGGTTGTTGGGGATCTGGCCTGTTGCCACGATGGCAAAGTCTGTGGTGACCGTCCGGCCGTCCTGGAGCGTGATCTCAAAGGGGCTGGTGCCGGTCGTGGGGAACCCCCCGGCTGGGACGACCACGCGGCTCTCGGTGACGAGGTTGATGCCTAGCTCGGCAAAGCGCTTCTTGATCAGATTGCTTATGCCCTCGTGGTAGACGGGCATGAGCTGGTTGCGGGAGTGGATCAGGGTGATGTCCTTTTCCGGGTAGACCTCCTTTAGGTCGCAGGCCATCTGCACACCAACCGCGCCGCCGCCGATGACGGTAACCGAGTTGGATCTCTTGATGCCCTGTTGGTAGGCTTGGAGATAAGCGACGGAGGGTGCCTTGTCGTCGTCTTCCATGGCGCCGGGCGGGGAGAGCCGGCTGCCTGTGGCTGCGACGAGGTAGTCGAAGGACAGCTGCTTGGAGCCGTGCCATTCTCTGTCGAGAGTGAGCTGTTGCGGTTGGAGGGACACCGCCCTTGCTCTGACGACCTCGTGCTGGGCATTTGGGTAGGCTGCAAAGAGGCTGGTGTAGGGGATGAAGGCCTTGTGTTCGAAGCCGGGCACTATTGCAAAACGAGGCTTTTGAGTCGCGGGTTAGCGCATTTGTTTATTTGCTGAAAAGGGGTCATTGTTGGAGCCATTGTCGAGCTCAGGTCTCATCTCAGTCTCCAAAAGGCAAGAAATCTTACAAAGGCGAATAGATGATGGAAGTGGCTGTGAGGCTCGACAAGCAGAACCTGTCCCCGGAGTCAGTTAAGGAGGTCAAGTTTCGTTGCGTGGTCCAATAGTAGTGGTTGTATCAACCTACACGATATGTTGCCGGCAGCAGATTCGCTAGCTCTGTCGCTGCAGCCTAGAAAGAGACGAGACACACACATGTCAGCAACCCACTGCATTTCATACATTTCCTACCAGACGCTCGTCCGTGGATAATAACTCACAATGCCAACATATGAACCCCCCACTACCACAACGTTCCGTAACGTCGATACAGCCATGTCTGCAGCTGTGTCGGTGCTTTGTGTTGGCGGTGGACGGGCGAAGATAAAAATACGGGCGAGAACAGCGACAGCGAGAAGGAGCGACTGGTAAAGAAAGAATCGAGTAAGACGCTTCATCACCCCAAGAGACCGACGAAGCAAAGCAAAAATAGAGGACGAATGGTTTTATGTAGGGGGATGGGGGCTGCAAGTTGCGTGCTTAGAGCCGCGGTTGGTCCGAGTCTGTAAACTGCCCGTCTCGGAGATGTCGCCTCACGCCTCAGCATCTCCGATCTCACTCCGAGCCCTTGTTGATCCCCGCGGAACCCGAATCGGACACCGTAGCCGGATTTAGCGGCATTTGGGGGCGGGTAGGGGGGTATAATAGTGGGTCCGCTTTGCCCTGCGGATAGGCGATTCGGAGCAACGTTGAGCCTGCCCCAACCCTCTGACGGGTTATGAGTAGCGCCCACTTCAGTGAACGGGTTTGAGGAGTTTGCTGTTTTGTGTCTCACCATCTGCACAACGCCACCCGTTTGCTGACCAACTGAGTCATGCGCAGGCGTTACACAATCTGGATAGAGATGGGATCTTCATTGAGCGAAATGAACTCTCGAAGTGAGAACTAATTACTGGAGAAAAAATGGCATTGCTTCTTGATTGCTCGCGGTGCGTTTGGGTTAATCCGAGTATTTTTATTCAAAGGCGAATAAACAGTAATTTTTGCACGGTCCATTGTCATTAAATGATTCAAGACATAATCGGCGTGACTATAAAACGCAAGTGACTCTATGATGGCACCTATCAATCGTTTTTCAGTCACGGCATCAAACGTGGGGCATGAGGCGACAACAAGAAACCCGAACCATCACTTGCAAAGGTTCGGGTTCTTATTACGGTGAACTCTACCAGTATATGGATTCCGCTGGTTTAGTATCTCACCAAGGGGGTATAAACTTGGAGTGCATGCCGTGGTACCTACGAAATTGATGATTATGTTATGTGATTTTCTGTCTTGTGGGAGGCAGAATAATGAACTCAACTTGGTTTTCATTGGCTTTGAGGCAATGAAACACAGACATCCACGCAAGCGGCTTCGTGATTGAGATCGCATGTTACTATCAGGCGGATCCTCCCTGAAGACCGATCATTTCATCGTTATTCCCAGAGACGGATCTGTCCCCAAAATTTGAGAATCAAGTGCGATAACCAATCAATCAATGTATCTGCCTGAGTGTTGGACGAGTCCATCAGGTAATTGGCTTGAATGAAAGTTATAGAGACCCGGACTAAGCACCTACCTCAAGACAGTGGTGCTGCATCGCATAAAACACACTTAATTTACTTCAGATATGTATTCAGGTACCCGCGCAGAAACAAGCCTTAATCCGATATTAATAGCCGAACACTCGCTTGCTCGGGGGAAAACATGGTAGGATCCCGTCTCGAAACGAGGGTCAGTGCCAACCAGTGTACGTACTGCATAACCAACCGCACCCGCACCGTTAACCGATTATGCACTGCGCGTCACGGTGTGCTTGGACGAAATCGATCGGCCGCTAGAACAACAATAGCCCGTAAACGGGAACATACCCGTACCTTGTTTAATTTCCCTGTCATGCAGTTGGGAAAAAAGGTTGTTTTGATCGTGCAGGTACTTAGTTTAAAGTGGGCGAACCAAATAGGCAGATTGGATCATGCACAGTCTTTTTAAACATGCAGTCAATGGTCTCAATGGACAAGGGGAGCGGGTGCATGTAGGGTAAACAACGGACGGAGGAAAGGGGGGAACTAGGTCGGAGAGACTAATGTAAAGTTGAGTAAGGTATCCACTACGCAAGTGTTACTGGGCCAGGTGGTAACAACTCGCGGACTGACGGAAGTACTAGTAAAGTGACAAACATGCATGCAGATTGACCATCAAGGCGCAAACGGACTTTACAAGACACCGCTTCAGCTGAAGTATCATCATAGGCGTAAAATTAAATAATATTCGCTAAGTATTCAACATGGCTCATACGTAATTCATGGCATAAAGTTCGTCATGGTCCTCCACTCGTACTATAGCACCAGATCCCTGATCACATCCTAGATCAAGCCGTATTCCTGCTTGATGACGTCGGCGAGCTTCTCGCCGGCGGCATACATGGTGGCGGTGGGGGCGCCCGAGACCTCCATGGGCCAGAAGCTGATGTCAGCCACGCGCAGGCCCTGGACGCCGTAGACCTTCTGCTGGGGCGAGACAACGCCGCCGAGGGCCTTGGGCAGCATGGCGGCGGTGCAGCACTGGTGAGCGTTGGAGGGGTTGACGAGGTCCTTCATCACGGCGACGATCTGCTCGTCGGTGGTGACGTTGAGGCCAAAGGGAGCGCCCTCGACGGGGCCGAGGGCCTGCATGTGGGGGGTGGCGAACAGCTCGCGGTTCTTGCGGAAGATGGCCAGGTAGACGCGCCAGTCGACAGGGTCGGTGCCGGTGCGGTAGTCGATCAGTGGCGCGGCCAGCGGGTCGGTCGACGCAATGTTGACGGAACCGCGCGACAGCGGCCGGAGGTGATAGACCTGCGCGGCGTTGCCCGTGCCCCAGCTGAGCGTACCGACGCCAATGTTGGGAGACTCGAACTGGGACAGGATCAGGGCGCGCTGGGCAGCATAGCCCGCCAGCACGGTCGGGTCAGTGCCCGCGGGCAGCGAGTCGGCCGGGTTGGCGTTGGCTGCCGACCGGGCGATGCCGTGGTACGACGGCGTGGCATCCCGGAGCGAGAGGATGGCAATGTTGGTGCTGAGCGTGGCGACGATGGAGTAGGCGCTGGGCTGGTGCGCGTCGTAGAGCGCCCGCTGCTCAGCGTTGAAGGTGGCGTTGTTGGCGAACGTGTTGGAGTTAGGCACCTTGTTGTTGGTGAAAGTGTAGGGGACTGCGAGAGTCGGCTGGTCCTGCAGGTTCTGGCCGACGCCGGGCAGGTCCGAGACAACCGGGATACCGAGGCCCTGGAGCAGGGGCCTGGGGCCCACGCCCGAGAGCTGGAGGATCTGCGGCGTGTGCAGGGCGCCTGCGGCGAGGATGACCTCCAGACCGGCA